AAAAATCAATTAAACAAGATTTGCCTGAGCATTACATCCGAATTCCTTACCAAATTTGAAATAAAAATAAAATACGAAAAACAAATACTAATAATAAAAATAATTGAAAATAAAAAGAGAATTAAATTAAGTGAGTGCGCCGAGCATGTTTTCGACACCGCCATCTTTGGCGATTTTTCTTTTTTTTTTGGCATAGCTAAATGCCCTGAAAAGTTACAGATGTGTACTTCACATAATACAAAACCCACAAAAAAAGTTTCCAAAAATAATAAAATTGTTTAGACGTCGAACTAAAGTGAAAACAAAAAGTAAAAAGTGAAAAAATACGTGGGCGAGCACGTTTTTAGACCGCCATCTTTGGCGATTTTTAATTCTTGTTTGGCTTAGCCAAATGACTTGAAAATTTAAGGCATGTACCTCACGTCATAAAGAACTAAAAAAAAAACATTCGGAAAAAAATAATTATTTTTAGGCCCCGAAATAATTTTTGGCGGGGGCCGAACGTCGTCAGGTTCGGACCCCGTACGGGACCCCGAACGCCCGTACGTACAAAGATCTGCCTGGGGACCTCCGTACGTACGGGCTGGTGACCCTGTTTTTATTTATTTTCTCGAAATTTTCGCAAAGTTCCAACTTTTCATTTTTGATTAGTGGCTCCTTATCTGGGCGATTCACTCAAGTTCCCGACTCCCCACCTCTCCCTCCCAACTCCTCCTCTTCTTCTTGCTCAACTACCCATCAATTCTGGCTACAACCTTGGTAAGTCTCTACCTTTGCAGGCCACGTCAGCTGTCCGCGGCACATGACCTTGCTCACTCGTTCACAGACAGCAGGGATGGATCAGATGGCCGGCGAGACTGACGAAGCCTATGAGACACGATTGGCAGCCATCATGGCCGAAAGCAAGCAACGGGCAGAAGCATCAGCAGCAGCAAGGAAGAAGAGGGAGTCAGAGGTAGAGAGGCTGCCTCAGGTAGCCGAAGATCAACGACAGAAGCACGCAGCAGCAGCAGCAAAGGCCGCCGATGAAAAACGTGTACGGCGGCGGGAGATTCTCTTCAAGGAGGAAACTGCATTACACGCACAGGCCAAGGATTGGCAGAAGGAGGCCGAGAATGGAGACTCCGTTGACTACGGGACAAGGATTGCTCTCTTGCTCAACCGTGTCACGGACCTCCTCGCTACTTGCATCGCACAGAAGGAGGACATTCACTCTCTCGACCACACCAATCAGGCGCTGGCTAAGTGCATACAGAAGCTGGAGCAGCGACCTGTCGCCACCTCCAGCACCGGCCCCTCCGACCTCATTGACCGCGTCAACGTCTTGGAGATAGACGTGGGAACGCTCAAGACTGAGACTCAGCGACTGGACCAGCAGGTGGGGGCAGCAGCCACACCGAGCTCAGCGCCTCGTGAGAGCATCCCCAAATTTGAGGGGCTCCCGATCTTCTGTGATGCATCGAAGATGGAGCCTATACCTTGGTGGCGCCAGTTCGAATTAAAGCTGGACATCCACCATGTCATCCACACAAACCGGCACCCATACTTGTACTCCCGGTCAGGAGGTGCGTGCCAGACATGGCTGGACAACATGTTGTCCGCACATGCATATACAATCTCCGAGTTACACAACTTCATCACCTGGGCCGATCTCACGGCAGCATGGAAGAAGCGTTTCCAAGTGGAACCGCCCGAGCACCAGGCGATGGACAAGCTGCTGACATTCTCACAGAACAGCATGCCAAGTGGAGACTGGATATCCGAGTTCCAATGTCTGGCAAGCACGCCCAAGCTGCCGCTGAACTTCCACGACATCAAGCTCTACTTCATCAAAAGGTCGTGCCCAGCGTTGCAAAATGCGTTAACTCAGGTCGCTGACATTCTCACAGAACAGCATGCCAAG